TTTTGTAGATGCCCTATCACGTCATATTGCACCTTCTCCTGATCAAGGCCTTGTGCTCCTGGTCCTGTCACTGATTTGATAGGTATATTGGGTTGAGGAGCAGGTTTGGGTAAAGAAGGTTTATTTTGGTTGGCTGGCTGACTTGATTGCACAACGGGCTTGGTTTTAGTGATGGAAGTTTGAGGTTCTAGAAGAGACTGAGTGTATGAGATAAAAGGGGTCCCAAGAAATTGGAGGGTAGGGGGGTTGTTTAAGGTATTGGGCTTAGGAAGAAGTCTGGGGAGCTGTAGGATAGGCATACTAGTCTTTGGATTAAGGGGCAGTGGCGGACTGGGGAAGTTCAAGGTGCCCAACTTCTGCGATGGAGGCTGCAGTGTCCTCCCCGATCTGAGATTTATCAACCCTGTGGTGAGTATTGCTTCTGAAATTTACACCATGTGGCAAGCTCCCTGAGAGTAGAAGCTTTCCCCCTCGACTGTCTTAATCCCTGCTCGAAGGCTCAGGGGGCCATTGGAGCTTCTTTGGCTTCGACTTCTTGCACTCTTTTGTGGTAGGTGGCTCTGCCTTAGCTTTAGATGTCAGGGCATCAGCAACTGTTGGGAATCCTGCTGCCTGTGCCAGGGTCTTTCTCAATCATTTCCGCTGTGTCCTGCTTATATTGAATCCTTCGAATTTCTAGTGAAGAGCCTCGAAGTTTGGGCACATCAAGGTCGTACCTGAAGAAGACATAGAAGAAAGAGAATGAGAAGAAGGAGAAGAAGGTGTAGAAGGGTTAGAAAGTGGGGGACTTTTAAGGTCGTTCCCCTCATCAGACCGATCTGGGAAGCGTTTTACATCATCACTAGGATTGGACAACTGCAGGGAGTCTTTTAGGTCTTTCCCTTACTTAGACCGCTGGGGAGTGCTTTCAGCGTCGTCACCCTCATCGGACGTTTGCTGAGTGGAAGATGGCACCGGAACATCTTCTTGACAGGATGAAGAAGGAAAAAGGATCATGCCAAGGATGAAGTCTAGCAAAGTTGGCTACGGAGGAAGGTGCCTGAGAAACTCCTGCTCGACCGAGTTTAGCGGTCCTGTTTCTTTGGTGAGCAGCCCTTGGTGCCCGTCTTTTTCTGGTTTTCTAAGGCGCTATTTGATTTGTCTTACTGGGTTCGCGATCAGCACTGGTTTGGCAAACCGCTTCTAGCCTCAAAGACTTGAGTGTGCTTCGACCATGCTAGATCATCCATGGCTGGGAAGTCGAGGGTTCTATAGAGTCTGAGTCATTGATAGGAAGGTCCTGGTTTGTGAGATCTTCTTGCTCTGATAAAGAAGTGATTTGGGGATCAGTTACGGGGAGATTGTAAAATTCTTGACACCCCCGTATCTTCTCTACGAATATATCAAGGAAAGTTGTGCATTCTGACAAATAATGACCTCGTATCTGATAAAATGGGCACCAACGATCTTCAGTCCCCTTAACAAGGCAGCAGGGTTGCCTTGCCTGTTTTAGTGTGATTATGACTTCTTGAAGCATTCTAATGAAGATGGTGTAGAGGATACTTGACATTTCATCCTCCTCTTGAATGGTTACGGCGTGGGAGGCCTCAGCTACCCCGAAGGCCTTCTTTAAATCTTCAAGCTTTATTTGACCTTTCAGAATCAGGGCCTCAATGATATCCTTCAGCGTGTAGCAGTCATCTGTGGGATGATTGATGCTCTGATGGTAGGCACAATAATTTTCCTTAGGGTGGAGGCTAGATTGCTCAAGGAACCTGGTTTCTGGAAGCTGGATCATATTCTGCTCCATTAATAACTGGAACAACACAGGGACCCCTTCCTTCTCGAAGGGATAGACCTTATTCCTATGCCTAGTGAAATAATCACTCAAAGTTGGCTGGTGGAGGTACCTGATTGTATGACTGTTGCTGCTTGCCAGTTTGGGGTGTTACCTTCACGGTTCTTACCTATTTAGAGAGGTCCAAAGCTTGGGAAGGAGCCTTCTTTGAATCAGTGATGATAACAGCCGCCCCGTGTTATTCCGAGAGCCACCATTGCCCCGGTTGTTCGCTGAACTTGTAGATGGTTATCGTGTTTCTATGCAAATTGATTTAGAGATCAACTCTTATGGTCATTCGAAGAGGAAGTCGTTGTGTCGTTTTGCAACAAAAGCCATATGATTTAGACTTCGATTGTTCATTTTATGATTTTTGGAAGTCGCAGGAAAATGATTTTTTGGCGACGTGAAAATTATGCCTTTAGTGAAACCTTCAATCTGGTGCCTTCCCAGACTTCATCTTATGCATATTTTATCTCAAATCGAAGCCCTTCGAGTCACAGTCGCAATGGTTTCATTCTTAGGTTCATCTGACTTCGAGGCTTCGAGAAAAGTCTGTTTGAACGAGGGGAGGTCACACACAAAATTTTGCAAAATGTGTCTTCCAAGCAACTTTCTCTCTAAGATTTCTCCCAGTTCGGTGACTGGCTCAAGGCGTGCCATATGTCAAAATCTTCCTCTTGACGAGGGGAACGAGCTGTTAAAATTTGAGCCCGATTAAGATACAAGCCTCGCAAGAATGTCCCTTTTTGGAAAATGCAATAGTACTTTACTATTTTTAATATTTGGTTTGGGTCATCAATGCCTCAATAGTAAACGACCTACCTATTTTAGAAAAGTAGGGCCTAAAAATGTTCATATGAGCTGAAATTTGGTGGTTAAACTTTTCTCAGCCTTTTGAATCTGTCAGCAGTGGTTTGGTGATCATTAAAGATTACTACAATAGGGCTCTAGTTATGGAATAGCTCGTGCACATAAGAGAGCCGTACTTCAGGATGAATCTTCCACTTGTTTCCTCAAATCTTTGTCTGAATGGGATGATACTTGGGGGTAGGACATCATATGCTTCTCTTATGCACCTTCTAGTGTCGAGATGACACTATTTCAAAAGATTTTCAAAATTAGTTTTATTTATGTGCAAGCTTCTGTAGTCCATAAGCATTTTTGGTACCTATGTGCCTGGGTTGTAACCGCCTCTTCTTTTATTCGCATGGAGAAACAAGTGTGCCAAAAATACCTACAACAGTGGCAGCAAGTGAGAACAACTTTTATTTATTTATTTATTTATTTACTTATTTCAGGTGAGTTTTTCTTGTACTTAGACCTTTGTAAGTGTTTTAGTCGGTAAGAAAAGAAAAAAAATACACACCGTGCTAAATCACCTTGTCCAACTTTCACTCCAACTCGTGCTCCCACAACAAGGAGACCACATCATGAAACTCAGCCTTGGGTGCCATTCATAGGACCACATGCAGTTGTCCCCCCACCAAAATGACACCCGCATCATGGCAATGGATCTCAACCCAATCACCCTCCTTAGAAGGAAGCCTCCCCGCTACAGAATCATAAGCCACAAGAAACTCCCCTAGCCCGACTTGGAGCCTCTCGAAAATCTCACATAAGGATAACTGCCACTATTTTGGCAGCTTCAAGAAGACCACAATCTCATGGTAAGCCATGAGAGTCGGTTCAATGTTAGAGAGGAAGAGGCAGCACTTCTCAACTGGCTTGGTCGGAACCACCACGAATCTCTCCTTTGCCACCACCTCCATGGCGTTTGTGAGGAGGATTCTTAAGGCGGGTAAGGGCTCTATTTGAAGATGGAGGCAGGCAGGTCCCATTTAGAATAAATCTTGTACGTACAATCTATTGCAATGGCTCTTTATGTAATTATTGGCCTTTGTGGATACTGTGGATTTTTATCATGTACAATCAATTGCAATGGCTCTTTATGTAATTATTGGCCTTTGTGGATAGTGTGGATTTTTATCATGCATATAGAAAGCAAGATTGGTTCACACAAAAATATTTTCTGAAAAATATTCACTTTGGAAACCATTGAGGGAACTTTTTAGCGTAAAAATAATTCTCATAAAATATTTTTCGTACGACCCAAATGTGCACTACATAGGTTTCTAGGAAAATGGAAACTTAATCAAATTAAATTAAGTGACAAAAGTGTGCACATCCCATATGTTTCCCACTTCCAGTAGAAGGCAACGGATTTTAATTTCAAAATAGTACTAAACTATACCCATATAACGCCATGACTTTTCTCCCACAAGTACCCCACTTTTCTCTGTTCCCTATAAAGGTTTGGAGAGAAAGATAGGTGGAGAAAGGAAAATTGAGTAAAGAGAGAGAGCAGTGTTTGAGAAACGTCAAGGTCTCTATGAGGCAGAGATGTGATTTGAACTTTGATTCTTTCCTCCTTCAACGCTCTGCAACTCCCATCTCCAAGATGCCTTGAGGAGATATTTGCTTCAATGATGGTACGGGGAAACAATAAAAGGTGTAAAAAGTCTTAGAGAGTAACCATTTTTTTTTGGCTTTTTTTGACTAAGTGAGGAAGACATGCTCCTATCTTTTTTTTCAAATAGTTTAGAAGTTAATTTTTTGAAGGTGTTAATGAGTTGTTAGTGGGAATGAAGTGGCTAAGGTGTGGATGTGTACCCCAACCCCTTTCCCAAGGGAGTGACCATAGGCAAGAAACGAAATTTCTGTTTTCCATAGAAATGAGCTGTACTCAAGGCTATGGCTCGTGCATATTTTGGGTAATAAGTTTTGTTGCAAGGTGCTCTCGATTTTTTGTTATAAACAACTAAAACTTTTGAAACTATACCTTCTATCACCCAAACCTTAGAACGCACACTTGTGCCAACTATCGATGCAATTTTCTCAGCAAAATATATTCATTTATTGTGCTCAACATTTTGGACACTCGATACCTTTACTCATCATGTAGTAACTTTTTTGTCTAGGAGTATTTTAAACAATTATTTAAGGGTAAAGTACAAATTTATAACAGAAAGAAGAGTATTTATTAATTATAATGGGGAATGGCATCACCCACATGAGATTTGATATCACCTACATGGAACATTAAATGTCACTAGTTTCTTACAAAAATATATATTCTACCCTTCCTAATGATAAAAAAATACTTGTACTAAAAAAAAATTTATATCACAAAACAAATATATATAAATGTTCAAAATTTGTTGAGTACAAATATAAAATACTATATAGTATGACCCTAACAAAACCCTAAAGGGATACACAGTTGAAAATGCTCATGAGTAAACTTCTACCTTTTTCACTGATAACTCATCATTGACCCTTTCTCCATTGCACAATAGCCAGGGACAGAGCACGGAGAATATCAATGTCATTGTTGCTTCATGGCCCCAAAACAATCCCCATTGCACAATAGCCAGGGACAGAGCACGAAGAATATCAATTTCATTGTTGCTTCATGGCCCCAAAACAATCATTGACCCTTTCTCCATTGCACAATAGCCAGGGACAGAGCACGGAGAATATCAATGTCATTGTTGCTTCATGGCCCCAAAACAAGGATCCATGAGGCTACCTAGGAACTATTTTAAGACTAAAGTGGTGAGGATCACTACGGGAAGCTACCTATAGAGGGCAGGCCTGCTGCCTCTTGGTAAATTTGAAGTGCCCATTCAGAAGGACATCTGCTTTAAAATCCAGTTGGATGCAAATTAGATGTCTTTTCTCTTCAACCAATCCTTCAATAAAATCAAGATTTCCTAATAAGTGGATTGAACTGTTCATGATTCATGCATACCATTAATTTCAGAGGCTACTACTCCTGGGCAGGTTTAATCAAGAGATTTCCTTGGCAATGGAGTCTCCTAAAGTCAGTTTCCCTATGCTTGTTCCGGCTATGTAGCCTCCAGACCATGCATTCTGCGAAAGAAACAAAATGGGTTAGTAATTTTGCACTACACTGATGCAAATTATCAAAACCTCCAGAGGAACATATATGATACTCAGGTATCTTGACATAAGGGCTAACTATGGTACTTTACAATTGTCGACAAGATTAACTTATGAACTTTGCATTATATTTTGGTAAGCTAATAGCTTTCTTTACATTCACAAAAAAGAGGTTCCCTTGCCTTCAAGACCCAATCCCTAGTTTAGTATGACAAGCAGCAGGCTATGGGGAACTGCTCCCTTTTTCTTAGAAATGACCGCAATACCTATTAACACGACAATGTCTCAGTCCATAAAAATATAAGATCACTTCCACTAGAGAAACCTAATAATGACTGTCATGTACTCTGCAAATGTGGGCCCTTTGTCAACTTTGCAGTACAGTACACAGTCATAATATGCTGATACAAATGCGTCAGACTATAACCATTCAACTCAAAGAATATTGGAAATTTCACTAGAGTTGCAACTCTATTTCACATAGCAGCGGTGGGCTACTCAAACCTTTCAAAAGTGCATTATCCTCTATTATCCAAATCTGTTGTTATTTAGGATGATTAGAAATATGACAACATTCAAAAACTTTAGAAAAGGTGCTTTTACTTGCCAAAGGACTCAAAAACAAATTTCACAGATATCATATCATGAAATCGAGGATCACGAACTTGTAAATCACCTACATACCAAATCTCACTTCATGGTGATTAGATAGTAGTATCAAACATAGAAACTATCTGCTACATAGAGTATAAGTTAAATGGATGTAGGATGCACATGACACACTGCAGTAATTTCTAAGAAATTCAATCCAAAAAGCTTTATTCATTTCTTGAGAAGTTTCCTTTCAAACTTAAAAAGTGCAATATCCTCTCATTTTAGAGAAATGTTATTTCCATCATAGAACTTCATATGCATTGCTTTAAATATCTACAGAAGGGCAACCAGATAAAACAAGAAACAGTATTACCTGGAAATTAAAACCCCCAGTTACTCCATCAACATTTACCACCTGTAGTAGGCTTAAGCAAATCAGAAGCTAGGCATAACATGACCAAAAAGAAAAATCAAAATCAAAGTCCACTGCTCAATCACGACCAAAAAAAAAAATACTACCTCTCCAGCAAAAAACAGATGTGGTTGTATTTTGCTTTCCATGGTCTTCAAATTGATCTACATAAAGGAGGGAAACCATGAGGAGTGCTTAAAATTCATGTGTTTGAGAAACAAAGATTCAAATAATTGAGGACCTCTGAGAGTGGGACTCCTCCAGATGTGACAAATTCATCCTTGAATTTTCCCTGCATTAGAAGATTCTAAAAGAATTAGTAAAGAGTGTATCACATGCAGAAACTAATAAGTGGAGGTCCTATGCTGAAATCATATTAGTTCCTATATTTGGACAAGTTAGGAATGGAAGGATGCTTAAATTTTTCAACCAGACCATAGATTAAGAAGACAATTTACCTTGCCGTTCACTTTAAAGTTGCAATGCTTCAGCAGAGAAGCAATAGAGATTAATGTATGATTCGAAATGCATGCCCACATAACATCACCATCTATGCCCTGATATATAGGCCTTTAGTCTGTGAGATGAACACAAAAGAAGCAGTAGAACATAATTCTTATTTCACCTATTGTATGAGTTCAAAATTATGGAGTACAAGACAAGCTGGTGTTAGAACCTCACGGTCCAGGAGATAATTCCAAAATCTCTTCACCAAGCCAAGCTGTGGGGGAGATGAATTATGCACCTTTTGCTTCTGCACAAAACTTAGACAAGAGTTAGTTACTAAATTAATCAGAATAATCTGGGGCCACCAATGCAGAAGCCAGATCCATGTGGTGCCACGTTACTAAAAAAGAAAAAAATTACTTACTGAACACACAAGCTTAATATAGATGAGAAATTATCGCATTAAAAAAAAAATATAGATGAAAAATTACATTAGTTGAAATCTTTGGGAAATTGGAACCAAGGAAACAGCAGAAAGCAATATACAACTGAGATAGGACATCAATTTAAGATATCTACATTACCAATGCGGCAAAAGAACTCCTTGAGAAAGGAATCCCACAAGGGAGTTAATGTTGCACAAATCCTACACCTCACGTGACGACATAGATCCCACTTGAACTCAGACTCCCTGCACTGGAAGTGCACTGTGGTCTATGGACCTAATGAAGATTGCAAGAGAGCTAACTTCTGGAGAGAGCTTCAAACTGTTGCGGCCTTGCCCTCCTCTATTTGGTGCCTAGGGGGAGAATTTAACGTAACCAGATGGTCCCATGAACGAAATTCCCACAACAGAATTACTCCAGCCATGGTCCAATTTTCAGACTTTATTTCCGACGATTACCTCACCAGGTCCAGTCACTCTGTTTGTCCTAGCCTTTCCAAACTAGACAGATTCTTAACTCTTTCGATTGGGATCACCTCTTCCCTGGAACCCACTCCACGGTACTCCCCAAACCCACCTCAGATCATCGGCCCATTCTCCTTGACACCCAAGCTATCCCGGGGGGCCCAAACCTTTTCGCTTCAAGATGGCTTGGTTCCAAGAGGCTAACTTCCCCTCCCTGGTTCGTTCCCAATGGGATTCCTTCACTCCACTCATTCAAGGGTGGCCTGGTTTCAGATTACGAAAGATACTCCAATTGCTCAAGGCTTTTCTCCAATCGTGGAGCTCCCAACTGCCACGAAACGTTTGCTTCTAGAACGCTTCCCTGCTGCAGTCTATAGAGCAATGGGACTCCATTGAAGAACAAAAGCCCCTTTCCCCCTTTGAATGGAGGCTTGCTCAAAGGACAAATATGATTTACATATTCTCCTAAAGAAAGAACAGATTTACTGGTCTAAGCAGGACTAAATTAAATGGCGAAAGTTCGGTGATCACAATACTGCATATTTCCACAACATCGCAAAACTGCCAAACGAGGGAAAGCTCCATTACCCATTTGAAGGTGGGGGAACAAATCCTAGACCAGCCACATCTCATCAAGCAGGCTGCTGTCTATTACCTCTCCCAGCTTTTCTCCATTCCCTCCCGGCCCAGACCTGAAATGGCAGACCTGTCCTTCTCAACCATCAACCCCAGAAATTGCAGCCTCCCTAGAACGTTCCTTTTCTGAGGACGAGGTCCTCCAGGTTATTATGGATCTCAGCAGTGATCAGGCTCCTTCCCATTGCCCTCCTCAAGTCCTTTTGGGACACTCTGAAACCTAATATCATGGCTGTTCTCAATGAATTCCACTATCGGGCCACTATACACAAGGTTATGAATGCTACCTTCATAGCTTTGATTCCTAAAATTGAGGGTGCCAAAGAACATAAAGACTTCAGGCCTATTAGCCTGATCAATAACTCCTACAAGATCCTTTCTAAGGTTCTTGCCTCCCGGTTCAAGTCGGTTCTCGGTTGGGGTCATCTCCCCTTCCCAAAGGGCTCTCGTGAAAGATTGTCAGATTCTTGATGGGGCCTTAATTGCCCATGGATGCATCCACACTTGGTCAAGTTCTAAACTCCTGGTCATCAAACTAGAATGGGAGAAAGCTTATGACCATGTTGAGGATCCTAGACGAAACCCTCGCTAAAATGGGATTTAGGGCCATATGGCACAAATGGATTCAAGGGTACATTTCCACACCCCAGTTCTCGGTTCTCATAAATGGAATCCCCAAGGGTTACTTCCAAGATTCGCGTGGGCTTCGCCAAGGGGACCCCCTATCACCTTTCCTCTTTGCGATAGTGGCGAAGGTTTTCAATGCCTCCATCTCCCATATGTATAGGGCGGGTCTTCTCTCAGGTTCTCAAATTGGAAGGTCGGTCCCCCGATTTCCCACCTCCAATATGCCGACAACACCCTTATATTTTGCAACGCCACTCAACAATAAGCATACTACTTACCTCAAATGCTATAAGCTGGCAACGGTCTTTAGAATTAACCCGGAAAAAACCAAGATGATGGGCATTTGCCTAGTCCAAGCCTTTGTCAATACCTTCGCCGGCTGATGAGGGTGTGTTGTCAATGCATTGCCCTCCATTTACCTCAGTCTCCCACTCTGCCTTGGCATACATAGAATCCAGCATTTGAGCCCTGTTATAGATAAAGTTGAAAGGAGATTGGCTACTTGAAAGGGGAGATTCTTATCTCCAGCTAGTAGAGTGAAGCTCATCAAGGCCACTCTCTCTAACATTCCCCTCCTTTTTATGTCCCTCTTCTATATGCCAGCAGTTGTTATTGCTAGGTTGGAAAAGCTCATGAGAGATTTCCTTTCGTCGGGCAAAGGAGTTCACAAGTTCCATCTTATCTCCTGGGCCAAGGAATGCCGACCCACAGCTCCAGGGGTCTTGGAATCCGGGACCGTAGATCCAACAACATTGCCTTGATGGGGAAATGGTGGTGGGGCTACACCACCCAACCCAACCATCTCTAGCGAGAGGTAATTAGACGCAAGTATTGTCTTGAAGACCATGCATGGCTTCCCTATTGCGGAATGGGGGGCAACATCTCTAGCTTTTGGAGGTCTCTTCTTCAATGCCGCGAACCCTTCCTCAACCAGATGCACTACTCACCCAAAAATGGCCATAGGGTCAGATTCTGGTATGACACCTGGGTTGGTTCCACCCCCCTCAAGGATCAGTTACCATTTCTTTTCCTCCTAGCCTGTAACCCCCTCTCAATTGTGGCTGATTGTTTCGTTAGCTCACAGTCCCCTATATCTTGGAACCCAGACTTCCAAAAACCCCTCGCAAACCATAAGCTTGATCATTTTTGGAACTCTGGGCCCTCCTCCACTAGGTTTTCCATCCACCCTCAGGGGATGACAAGATAATATGGTCCCCCTCTCCCTCGGGTACATTCTCGGTGGCTCCCGTGTACAGCTGCTTCTCCTTGACTCCTACCCACACCTCCATCCATGGCAACTAAGGCATCGTGCTCCTTTTTGCCCCCCAAGATCCAATTCTTTAATTGGAAAACTCTCCACAAGGGGCTCTTACTTTGGATCAATTGCAGCGTAAAGGCTTACCCTTGCCGAATGGATGCATCATGTGCTTGTAGGCTGAGGAGACAAATCAGCATCTCTTCCTACAATGTGAAGTTGTAACGGCCCGGTGGACCGACCTGCTCCTCCTCTTCAATTAGTAGTGGGTTACTCCCCAGTCTGTTCCTCACCTTTTCCCTATTTGCCTTCGCACCCCTTGGGGCAAATCCGGAAAACACCTTTGGAAGGCTTCCATCTCAGCCACTCTGTGGATCATCTGGCTAGAGAGAAATGGTAGGACTTTCAGAGGGGAGAAAGCCACCATCCCTGTCCTCATAGAAAAGAGACGATCTCTCGTTACATTATGGGGCCTCAAATCATAAACATTTCACTAACTACTCCTTCACAGATCTTCATCATCACTGGGAGACCTTGCTGAATCTCGTGGCCCAAAGGATCCCCTGAGCCTCTTTATGGAGGCCACATGACTTTGGGGTAACCAAGCTAAATTTCGACAGTTGCTTGCTTGGCAACCCAGGCCCCTCTGGTGTTGGAGGCATATTTAGAAATTCCGAAGGCCTCACTATTCTCTCCTTTTCCTTGCCCATTGGTTTTACTAACCCCACTACTGTGGAGGCCGTCGCCCTTCTTGAAGGGCTATGTATATTTGATCTGGATTGGAGTACTCACTCGATGGTCGAGGCTGATTTAAAAAACACCATCACTTGGGCCTCTAGAGTTGCCCCATGCACGTGGAAACTAGACCACATTTTTGCAGAGATAGCTCACATTTGCAGCAATACTCGGGTCTCTTGGAGACACATCCACAGAGAAGCTAACGATGCTGCCGATGCTTTAGTAAGGGCAGGAGCGATTCTCAACACCTTCCAGGGAACCACAAGAAACTTTTAAGCTTGCTTCCCACATATTCTATTGATACTGGTGTAGAGCATTTTATGGGTCCAAGGGGTTTATGCACAGGGCACCCATTCATACCTAAATTTTCTATCCACTCCTTGTTTGTATCTCTTTATACATGTTAATACAATAATCAACTTACTCAAAAAACCATAACTCCTACTTACTAATAAAAGACAACTCAGATAAGATACATATGACATGAGAGAATTGCATTAAATGAGTAATATTTTGTGGCAGATTACCCTTTTGGAGACACTATACAAATCAGAGCAACTCATATAAATATATTTACCAAAAAAAAGCTCATATATACATGATAGACCTAAGAGCTCTTTTCGATTCTCATTTTTTTATTTATGCTTTGGACCTAAGGACTGATCCTACAGAAAAAACTGAAACTTCTCTTAGAGTAGCACCTTATTCATCCTCAGGAAAATTAAAACAGGTTCCACTGAAGATAGATGACAAAAATGCACACTTTGATTCTTCACATTTTTTTAGCATTGCTTTTGTTTCAATGCTAATTGAGCAGCCAGGCTCATCCTTATTAGTTATGGACATTGAGATTGCACACATAATCAACTTATGTTTGAAACGAGAAAACAAAATATGATGCACTTGTTCAATATCAATTTCCTAAAGGACAACACTGTCATGTAAATCAGATAAAGCAACTGCATCTACCAAAATTTAGCTCAATATTTGTATGTCATGCAAAAAGTACAAATAATCGGGGGGGGCGAGGGAGTGCGCAGAAGGGAAGGGGGTACCATTAGCTTTCGTAATGTGCAGGTAAAGTCCAAAGAGGACAACTCTTAGATTCATAGGGCATGCTTCCTATTTAGTCTATGGGAACGACCTGGACATGCATAAAAACAGCAAAGCCACAATACTTACTATCCAAACTACAAACATCCCTCCCAATGTTCAAAAAGGCGTAGGCGCCTGCCTAGGCGTTTTGGGGGTGTGGCCGCCTAGGAGCAAGACGCCCAATGAGGCTGCCTAGGCGTTTTTGGCATCCTAGTCGCCTAGGCATCCGGGCGGCCGAATTTTCGAACAATTCCTTCCTTTTGGGTGTTTTTTTTTTTTATTCCTCATATCATTTTAATGGAATTGACAAGTATCAATTTGGCTCACAATAAGGGCTACATCACAAGTGAAATGAGGAATAGAAACCAATATCGCTATCATCTTCGGCAAATGTTCTGCCATGCTAGTTCTTGTATATAGTAGTCAATCCCTTTGTTCATACCATATACTTGCATTCAGACCATCAACCAAGACCACCAGGAGAGTCAAAAGCAAGAACCCCAGTAACATAATGACCAATAACCCATAGTGGATAAAAATATAAAAATCGATACCTTCGCAGGTTACCATTTCTTATGGTTTCCTCCTCAAACTGAAGGATTCTTCCCTCTCTTCATCTCTTTCTTCATCTTGCATAAACATCTTCAAGAGCCTTAGTGTTTAATTGATAAAACTCCATAATACATTTAAGGGTTAATTTTTGAAGGAACATGAATCACCCAAATTATGAGGGATTACCAACTTCAATCACAAGGTAGCCACTTGAGCGGAACAACCAAAATGTTGCAATAATGAGATTCATGCAAATGAGGTCACATGGTGCATTGTTTTGTACATTGATTTGGAAAGACAGCAATTCTCTGCATCATTGTCAATTAAAACCTTAATCTCAAAGTTCCGGATTGGGTTACCTTAATTCATGAATTTCATGACCCTCGACGCTTAATAGGTTAGCAACTATTGTCACTTAACTAACAGCTACTTCTCCAATCGGGGACAGGCCCCTTCAGTGAGCTTCATACTTATTCTTGAATGAACTATCTAACAATTTACTCAAGGCTTAGAAATAAATGTCTCCACATAGCAGCAGGTGCAATGTAACCTCATTAGACAATCCAATCTAACAGTATTTAAAACAAATGGAATAATGAGACATGCATGATAAAGTTTTTTTTGAGAAGACTTAACTAGACATGCATGATAAAAGTTACCATTGTTTTTCAAATGATAGTAAATAGTACTCATAAAATTCATAATTAAATGACTGGACCTTCTGAGTAAACTAGTACGGAAATGATACAGTGAAGGTTTACAGAACAACATTCTACCCCAAAGTGTTTCTTGTGCTCGGTGAAGATGCACTTTACATTATCAAAGTGAAGGTTGGGAACGAAGTCCACAAAAATTGTCCCTGCGCATTACAATGAAAGTTAAAAAAGATATAAAAAATGGGAAAACACAGAAACAACATGAAAAGTGCAATTAATTAAGCACAAAATATGCAATCCATATAATTGATAAGATATTTTTCAACTCTCTAATAAACATCCTAGTAATAATTTATGTCAATAGAGTAGCACTACTCACATGTAGTGTTCAAATATTCAAAAAATATTAATCACTAAGAGTACAAACCAAAAAATTGAGAAATGCCTCATTGTCCTAAAACAATCAGATACCGACACTACTACTGAGATTATTCTACAACGCCCTCACTAAGATCTCGACAAAAGAAGCAATGACCCGGAAAGTATGACAAGTGCCAGAACATCTAAATGCAAGCTTTTTCTTGGTTTTTGTACAAGCCTCGTGCATTTGCTAATTTACAAAGCAGAGGTATTACCATCCTCAATAGATTGATCTTCTGCAAAATATTCAGTGAAATTGTCTGTTTTTGCACTGTGAAGTCCCTACCGAAGTCTGGATTTCTTTCATGAAAGATATGGTTTGGTTGGTCATGGATCGAACCTCCATCAGTTGAGTCACTTATTCAGCTATGGTTCACAACTGGTACACCTACCAACAGCCTGATTTTCTGGCATTCATTTGTCCTTGCAACTTCCTCTCTGACTTGATACGAGAACTTTATATCCCTTCTATAAAGATTTTACCTCCTTCGGGGAAATATCAGAGCCTTACCTCCTTCGGGGAAATATCAGAGCCTTAGCGATCCCATGGTCGTTAAAAATAAGAAGAGTTTTGGAGCATGAAATTACTTGAAGAAGCATTGAACCAAAGTAGACAAAATTGATAAGGAGATTTCTCTCATTGGGGGTGTGATGAAATTGAGCTTCGAGAAAAATTCAAGGGGGGCTGTCTATGTTTGCTTCAATCTAGGAGATTGAACCAAAACAGACAAAATTTACTTCAAATGGTGCTTTCTTGGCCTCTTTCTACAAGAAACTCACCCAACCCCCCACCTTCCCACTTAATCCCACATTGGTCCTCTCTCAGGTTTGGCATACTATAGCTCCTCCCAAGGTGCAAACATTCAATTGGATAGCAGGCTCACATAAGGCACTCACAGTCGATCACCTACAAAAGAAAGGGATCCCAATCCCCAACAGGTACATCAAGTGTTTGTGCGAGGAGGAATCCAATAGCCACCTTTTCATTCATTGTAAACTTGCACACGACCTCTGGAGCCTCCTGCTGAAATTGTTCGGTGTCCTTTGGGTAACACCATCAACGGTCAAAGATCTGTTAGCCTCAAATTACGCCTTGCCTTGGCCGAAAGCGGGTAAAATCCTATGGACGGCGACAGTGGCAGCAACCATTTGGGTGCTCTGGAAAGAAAGAAATGCCAGAATATTTGAACGACAGGTCTGCCTTGTCCCATCCCTCTTCTACAAGGTTACATCCTTAGTAACCTTTTGGGCATCCAATCACCATCTTTTCAAGGGTATCCCATCGAATGCCTTCCTAAGTCAGTGGGAGAATATTCTTCTTCACAGACCAAGGAAGAAGAAAAGATCAAGCTCCTGGAAGCCTTCCCCTCAAGAAGCAATCAAACTAAATTTCGACGGGTGCTCTTTGGGAAACCCCGGCCATGCAAGTGCGGGTGGGGATTTTAGAGATCACCAACGCAATATCCTTTTCATTTACTCCGAATACCTTGGCTTCCAAGATTCCCAGTATACCGAGTCATTCGCTCTACTCAAAGGCCTGCAAAGTTTCGATCGATCTTGGGGACAAAACTTAATAGTGGAGTGTGATGCCCGAAACATCATTACTTGGGCCTCCAGGAAAGCTACTCCTCCCTGGTATCTTGCACCACTTTATGACGAGTTTGTACACATTTGCAGGGATATGCCCGTCTTTTGAACGCATACCTCGAGGACATCAAACGAGCTCGCGGACCTGCTGGCAAAGGATGGAGCCAAGGCCCAATACACAGACTAGGCCCGTACCTTTTTTGCTTTGGGCCACAGAGGATACTACAAGAAGAACATCTTACTGGGAACAAGCAATTTTTTAAGTCTTTTCTTGTAAACTCATTGTATACATTGTAAGGGGACAAGCTTATAACGCTATTTTGTATAGGGTCTGTTGACCTATTCGTTTTTACCAAGAGTCCTGTCTAGTGGGTACTCTCGGACTAACCCAAACTTGTATTCTCTTTTTATATAGCAATACAAATGTTAACGTTCATCAAAAAAAAAAAAAGTATGTTACAATATTTTTTAAATGCAATAAATTACAAAATTGACACAATTAGCATATATGTGCATTTGGACAACACATATATGTATATTTTTTAAGAATTTATACTACAAGAAGCCTAAGGTTCTGGGGGCTGGGCGCTAGGCCGACAGCCTAGGGGCCACCTAACGTTTTTTGAAACCTTGTAGGTTATATCCATATTTGCCATTTTACTGCAAATATTTCCTCTAAACATATACCATTAAAAAGGGGCATGCATGTATGCGAAAGACTTTCAAAATTTCAGCATACAAACGACTATATATCAAATCCTAACACATAATTCCTGGCTTCATGAAGGAACATATACACATATATTTGAAACTTATACCCACGAGAAATTAGGGTTTCATGGAGGAAACCCATGTGTCAAATTCTTTTTCTTTATTCATTAGTTTTATGTTCATCAAAAGACACTAATGAAACAAATTTAGGTTTCTTTCTTTAATCATTTTATTCAACTTTTATGAGATAAAATAGAAAAACAAATTCAGGTTTCCAAATCCTCAATGTAAGGAAACAAAGAATATTACCGACCAAGACAAAAAATACATGTTTTAAACTGGTCAGGCAACATAAGTGAAAAGGAATAGTTTTTTTCAACCATTGAGTCACACATGCACATTGCAAGTTATTTAGGTACACTACATATAGTTGAAGAGCACTGCAAGCATGTATAATTGATCTGAACAGCTCACGAGCACCCCAAGCAGATAATCGCAGGATCCACTAATCCCCCAATTAGTCACAAGCATGGGACCAATCTTCCAAGATCCAAGTACAGTACTTTAAAACGTATAAATTAAGCTACGAAGCAATGCAGACCAAGAGTAGCATACCTGTGTCAATTGAGGTATAATCTTGTTGGTATTTGGCATTACTAGCGTTGCTTTATCAATTCCCATTTGTGTGTAATATAAAGCCTTGCCTGAAGCACTTCACAGCAGAGGATTATGCCTTGAACTCTCCTACTTTATCTTATAATCCATTAAATGCTTCATTATATATGTTGATTACAACATGAGAATGACTTGGATATGCTTGACAAGACGAAGGTTGAGTCTTTGATTCAAAAGTTTACATGCTACAGTTGTATTTTGGATGTACCATGTCAAGGGTGTGTGTATATTGTAAAGGAGGTGAGAGACGAAATCAGCCCCATGATTTAGAGAAGGGGAAAGCTTTATTATAAAGGTGTTAGGTAGATATCAAAGGTACACTAGTGCTTTTGAAGTGGGCTAATAAGGAGTGTGTCATGTAGCCTTCAAATTTGCATTGGTCAAGGTTAACTATATATTCCCTCCGTATCTCCCTTGTTTAAATTTTATCCACGGTGCATGTTTTTGTGGTCGCTAGTCAGTTGTAGTTCCGTGCTTTTCTCAAGTTATCAAGGTTTCAAAAAAGGGTCCGCCTGGCACCTAGACGCCCGCCTAAGTGCCCAAGACACCTCTGACAGCACGCCTCGACCTGGTATACGTTTTTATGGTCGCTAGTCAGTTGTAGTTCCGTGCTTTTCTTAAGTTATCAAGATTTCAAAAATTGGTCCGCCCGGTGCCTACCTAGGTACCCAAGACACCTCTAACCGCACGCCTAGACCTGGGCGCCACATTCTGGGCACATGTACCTGGGCGGGCGCCACATTCTGGGCACATGTAACTGGGCGGGTGCCCAGGGATGTGGGCCTTTTTTTTATTTTTAAATATGCCCAAATGGGAAAAGGGGGGAGTTTTGACCGCAAAAAAAAGGTTAAATAGGTTATGGGGGTTATTTGCAAACCCCTAAAGTTAAATGTCATATGTTTGTACATAAAAAGTATGTTACAATATTTTTAAATGTAAATGTCATATGTTTGTATATAAAAAGTATGTTACAATATTTTTAAATGCAGTAAATTACAAAATTGACACACTTAGCATAGATGTGCGTTTGGACAACACATATATGTATATTTTTTTAAGAATTTATACTACAGGGCGCCTAAGGTTCTGAGCGCCCGTCTGGGTGCTGGGCGCTAGGCGCTAGGCCGACCCCCTGGGTACTAGGCGTTGGGCGCCAGGCTAAGCACCTAGCGGCCACCTAGCATTTTTTGAAACCTTGCATGTTTTATCCATATTTGTTATTTCACTACAAATCTTTTCTCTAAACATATACCATTAAACATATACCATTAAAAAAATGTGGCATGCATGTATGCGAAAGAATTTCAAAATTTCAGCATACAAACTACTATATTTCAAATCCTAATGCATAGTTCCTGGCTTCATGAAAGAACACGTACACATGGAGGAAAACACGTGTGTCAAATTCCTTTTCTTTATTCATTAGTTTTATGTTCATCAAATGAAACTAATGAAAAAAATTTAGGTTTCTTTCTTTAATCATTTTATTCAACTTTTATGAGATAAAACAGAAAAACAAATTCAGGTTTCCAAATCCTCAATGTAAGGAAACAAAGAATATTACCTACCAAGACAAAAAATACATGTTTTAAACTGGTCAGGCAACGATTTCATAGTTAAGTGAAAAGGAATAGTTTTGTTTCAACCATTGAATCATACACATTGCAAGTTATTTAGGTACACTACATATAGTTGAAGAGCACTGCATGCCTGTATAATTTGATCTGAACAGCTCGCGAGCACCCCAAGCAGATAATTGAAGGATCACTGGACCACTAAGCCCCCAATGAGTCACAAGCATGGGACCAACCTACCAAGATCCAAGTACAGTACTTTAAAACCTATATCTTAAGCTACGAAGCAATGCAGACCAAGAGTAGCATACCTGTGTCAATTGAGGTATAATCTTGCTGGTATTAGGCATTACTAGCTTTGCTTTAACATTTGGGAAGCTTACCTAAATGAGAAAAGTTGTAAAGAAATATCACAATCTGTGCCGAAGGAACCAAAAACATCTGCCCAAAATATTTAAGTACATGGACACATTACTTTGAAAAGGTGACAAATTGAAAACCTCACATTTTAATTGAAGGCATTCAATAAAACTCAACTTTTCAAATATATATAATTTTTCTAAGAAACTAAAAGGAGCGCACTTTCACTATCTTGGATCGATAATCCATGAAAATGGAGAGATTGGGGAAGATGTCGCACATAGAATTAGAGCTAGATCGGCGAAGTAGAGATGTGCAATTGGAATTCTATATGATCGCCGCATACCAATGAAGTTGAAGACAAATAGGATAGATGTGAGACCAGCTTTGCTCGATGGGGCGAAATGTTGGGCGGTCAAATAAGAATACACCTATAGAATGAGTGTGGCGGAGATGAGGACGCTCAGATGGATAAGTGGCAAGACAAGAAGGGATAGATATTGAAATGAATACATTCGGAAAAATTTACGTTGGTACCAATAGGCAAAAAGATGAGAGATAATAGACTTAGGTGGGCTGGCCATGTGTGGCACATACCCAATACAGCCCTATTAGTAGGTGCGAGTTAGTTCACGTGCAAGGCTCAAAAAGGACAAGGGATTGGCCTAAAAGTACATGGTTGAAAGTAGTGAGAAAAGATATAGGGACTTATGGCCTCATTGAGGGTATGGCCCTTAATAGAGCAGAATGGCGGACAAGGATTTGTATAGCCAACCCCAATTAGTTGGAAAAAGGCTTCGACAATGATGATGATAACGTTTCCACAGAAAACAAAAAAAAACCACAAACTTTAGATCAACAAAAGTGTTGGTCACCATCATAAATTCAACAGTTTTGTGCAAGCAAGAGTAATGCTTCTTCATTAATAACCATTTGAAGGGTACCTTGTTTATTTCAATGTGTTAGTGGGTGTGGGATGTAGTTTTGGTATCATTACGAATACGTGTTTTGTGACACAGTTTCATTTTCTGCCCCTCAAATATTCGCCTGTTAATATCATCAGTGGCATTTGATCACTTGCAATCCAATGCTTCATGACTGCACAAAACACATTAAAGTCAATCGTCACTTCAAATGAAGCCCATAATATATCCCGTACCTCTCCCCTCCAAGAATCTGCTAGTTGATATATTTATGAAAAGCTACAATCAGATTAGTGCATTAGCCTTGTCCCTTATTGTCACTTTTAAGGTAAGTATTGCCATCAGTTTCTTGCCACTGATTGAACCTGTAAACGTAGTATAGCCATTTGTTTATTGTCAACAGACTCATGCCCTTAGATTCAGCTGCATCATTTCAAGGAGGAGCAAGGATAGTCTTGTCTATTGCACATGTATTATATATTCGTTTTCTACAGTAGTTGCACTATGCACATAAGATCATGTATGTCATCTCCGATTGATTCTAATGAAGAATCCATCCGAGCAATGCTAGTCTCCAATAATGATCTTCTACCTTCTCACAACCATTTCTTTGTGATCAAACAATTCCCAACTTTGCACCTCTCTACACTCCAACAAAAAAGCACCATAATTCTCCACAAAATTGAAAAGGTTAATTGTTTCATGCAGGCAGGTTGGCATGCCCGCATAGAAACCATGTCCAATTGAAAATGGATTCTAATAAGGATGAGATGGACTGGTTGAGAAGAAATCCATCAAAGAAGGCCTCTCTAATGGCCAAAATATTTGGGGAAAAGAGATACTGAAGAAAAGCTAAGTAGAAGTCAGACAGTGGGGTAAAGAATCCCAAAACTGTCACAATCCATAAATAGCTTTATATAGGGCAAACTATGCCCTCGAATGAAAAAAAAAAGAACAGAAACAATCAAACCAAGAAATTACTCAATAGATGTCCCCTACTTTGTCCAAAACCAACAACTTAGCTCCATACAATTCACCATATCAATATCGCTCCATTAGCATTGACCATATTGGATCAAGAACACCATAAATCTAGTGTAAGAGGAGCAAAGAGGGAGGAAAAACACAGCACAAAGATGGGGGAGGAAATGCTGAATTCTATATAACATACAATGCATAATCAATCATACAGAAAAATCCAAAACATTATGATTGCCTGTACACCTTGGGTCATATCAACAACTGCATCAATACTTTGGAGTTAGAAAGAATCATAAGACTTACATTGCATGTAAACATTCTACAGTGTAAAACGATGAATCTCCCACCAGAACTTGAAATATCCCTAACTTCCCTACTCCTGCTCCTGCATCTATAGATGCTTCCTTGGTATATCCAATAAACCCAAATCAATCACAAGGAATAACTTGACAAATCCGCAAAGCTGCAAAAATATTCCAAGTTTTCTCCAAATAAAATATCAAACATAAAAAAGCTCATTTAGCAATCATGCCTAAAATCATGTGCAACCTCCCCCAACCCAAATCCTAGAAAAAAAAAAAAAAAAAAAAAAAAAAAAAAAAAAACAAAAGAACTCAGATATTTAACGAAGAGTTACTGGGACATGTAAAGATAGTCGAGATGACCTAAATGGCTCTCTAAGTAAAACAAATACCCTCTATAGTATATGCCCAATACCCATAAGTCAGAAGATGAGCACATCAATTATTGCATGACAACAAATACTCAGATAAACAAAGAATACATGCAGAAGAAGATTAACTAAGTTCAAAGTTGAATAACAAACATGAACATGTGCACACCAGCAAATAAATCAATCTATGTGGACATTGACATGCAAAGGTTGATGCATGTGAACGAATAAGTAGAAGAGTTCATGTACATTTGGTGTCCATGGGTGTATGTCCACATTGTGAGAAGCAAAGTGATACATGCCTGGTATGTAATTTTGAAAGTTATTCTCACCAGTTTTATTGCAGACACAGACACATTGAGTTTACTAGTGCTGTAGCATGAAAACATACATCAAAATCACACAACAAAAAACACAAAAGAAAACAAGCATGACACACGATTCACGCGAAAACCGTGCCGTTTTTTTGCGCGCAATTGTGGCGGCTTTTGCACAATTGTGCACCCTAATGCTTGTACTAGGTTCCCCCAAACACATGCACAAGAAGTGCCACCAATTTGCCCTCCGTACGAAGTTTAGTGCATGCATACTGCGCGAGCTCAACTCAACGCGTGCAATTCACGCGAAAACCGTGCCGTTTTTTTTGCGCACAATTGTGTCGGCTTGTCCACAATTGTGCACCCTACTATTTGCCCCACATTCCCCTAAACACGTGCGCTAGAAGTGCCACCAAATTGCCCTTTCGTATGAAGTTTAGTGCACATGCGCACCGCTCGTGCTTAACTCAACGCCTGCGATTCGCACAAAAATCGTGTCATTTTTTTACGCGCAATTGTGGCGGCTAGTGCACATTTGTCCACCCACCTATTTGAGCCATGTTCCCCAAACATGTGCATGAGAAGTGCCACCAAATTTCCCTCCACACGATGTTTAGTGCACATCCATATCGCACGCGCACAACTCAATGCGTGCGATTCACGCGAAAATCATGCCATTTTTTTGCACGCAATTGCGGCTGCTTGTGCACAATTGTGCACCGTACTATTTGCCCAACATTCCCCTAAACACGTGCAAAAGAAGTGCCACCAAATTGCCCTCGGTACGAAAATTAGTGCACATGCACTACACGCGCTAAACTCAACGGGTGCGATTCGCTCGAAAACTGTGCCGTTTTTTTTGCACGCAATTGTGGCGGCTTGTGCAAAGTTGTGCACCCAACTGTTTGTCCCAGGTTCTCCCAAACACATTCGCAAGAAGTGCCACCAAACTGCCCTCTGTACGAAGTTTAGTGCACATGCGCACCGCGCGCACTGAACACAACGCGTGTGATTTGAGGCAGAACCATGTCGTTTTTTCCCGCGCAATTGCGGCGGCTTGTGCAGAATTGTGCACCGTACTATTGGCCCCACGTTCCCCCTAACACGTGCGTAAGAAGTTCCACCAAATTGCTCTCCATACGAAGTTTGGTGCACATGCGCACCGCACGCGCATAACTAAACTAGTGCGATTCGAGCGAAAACCATGACGTTTTTTTGCGCACAATTGTGAAGGCTTGTGCATAATTGTGCACCCTACTATTTACCCCACATTCCCCCAAACATTTGCATAAGAAGTGCCACCAAATTTCCCTCTGTACAAAGTTTAGCGCACATGCACACCGTGCGTGCTCAACTCAATGCGTGCGATTCGTGCGAAAATTTTGCCATTTGTTTGCCCGCAATTGTGGCGGCTTGTGCACAATTGTACACCCTACTATTTGCCCCATGTTCCCCCAAACACGTGCGCAAAAAGTGCCACCAAATTGCCCTCCGTACAAAGTTTAGAGCACATGCGCTCCGCGCGCGCTCAATTCAATTTGTGCGATTCTCACGAAAATCGTCCTTTTTTTTACACGCAATTGTGGCGGCTTATGCACAATTGTGCACCTTAAAATTTGCCAAACGTTCCCCCAAACACGCGCACAAGAAGTGCCACCAAATTGCCATCCATACAAAGTTTAGTGCACATACGAACCGCGCGTGCTCAACTCAACGTGTTCCCTACTGTCTGCCCCATGTTCCCCCAAACACGAGCACAAGAAGTGCCACCAAAATTGCCCTCCGTACAAAGTTTAGGGCACATGCGCATCGCGTGGGCTCAACTCAACACGTGCGATTCGAGCGAAAAACGTGCCATTTTTTTGCGCGCAATTATTGCGGCTTGTACACAATTGTGCACTGCACTATTTTCCCCGCGTTCCTGCAAACACGTGCACAAGAAATGCCACTAAATTGCCCTCCGTTCGAAGTTTAGTGAACATGCGCACTGCACGTGCTCAACTAAACGCGTGCGATGCGCGTGAAAACCATGTCGTTTATTTGTGCACAATTGTGGTGGCTTGTGCACAATTGTGCACCCTTCAATTTGCCCCAGGTACCCCCAAACATGTATGCAAGAAGTGCCACCA